TAGAGTAGATTTTATTTTATTTTAGAATTTAGAGTAGATTTTATTTAACAAATTAACCATCAAATAAAACGTAAGGATATTAACAACAACTGACAGTGCATTAACCACTTACCTGACTGTGTTCTGTTCATCTTAGAATACAAGAGTATGTAGAAACAGCATGCTTTAAGGGAGAGGAAGGACAAAGCATATTTTGAATATGGAACAGTGAATATGAATCTGATTTGGTGAATATGAATCACACATCTGAGTGTGATGATCAATTTCTTGACATGTTGCTGATTTATTTGGGCTATGTCTAAGCTGGTAAACCTTAAAATAATTGAGGCCATTCCCTGACTGATCATTTTAACAGGAAAAAAGCAAGGGGTGTCTCATTACAATGTCTTGGTTTGTGTTGGAAAGTAGTGTTGGACAAGTGGCTGAATGGGAGTCAGAGCATCCTCTGACCAGGCGCCTTCTTCTCCTGTGAAACCAAGAGATGGCCTAAGAGACTGTTGACTGGTTATTTGGAGCCAAGGTTTTTAGAACTTTGTGCACACAGGAGATACATGCAGATAAACCATCACATTGAATGCATGAAAGTTCTGATAATCCAGGAATTGTGCAATTTTTATTTCTAAAACTGTCTATCGTTTGAAAATGCTTCAAGCTCTGAGTGGCTCTTTCACATGGAATGCATATCAAAATAGATACTGTAAAGTTATCTACCTCCTACCAGTTATCAGCAAGCATCTTCCACTTGTTTTAGGTTTGTGTGCTTCACTGAAAAACAAAGTTATGGGTTACAAAACCAGCTATCATGAACATTAATAGGTCTTGGTAAGTGAACTGTGTTGATGAGCTCATCAACGAGAGCTGGAATTTGTAATAGCTTTGTCTGAAGTGTGATGCTTGTACACATGAACAAAAGTGGGTTTTGCCTTCAAAATGTGAGCAGAGGGAATTGTCAGCCTATGGGGAGCTTTAACTACTTAATGAAGAACTTTCTGCATGCTTTGTGTTACATACTAAACCTTTTCCTTTTCACTACGCTCTCTCCAGTCCAAATGCATTAAAAAAACATACTAAACCTTTTCCTTTTCCTTTTAACTATGCTCTCTCCAGTCCAAATGCATTAAAAATGTCTTTATTCAAATTTCTGGAAATAGCTACTTTTGGTGCCACTGGACTGTCTATACAACCATTCCCTTATTTAAGAATATTTTGTTCCCAGAAAAAAAAAAAGAAAAAAAGAAGAAAAAAAATATCTTGCCCATTGAAATAAACAAGAATCAGCTATTTTGGAAAACTGTTAAGAAATGAGAAATTAGTCATAATTATTAAATTCTTGTTTACATTTATTAAGCTCTTATTTGAGACTCTATTTTTTTTTCCATTGACCTAAGACAATGGGTCTTGGGTCAAATTCTTCATTGTAAAACAAGAGGTTGAGGAAATTAATTTGCTCTACACCAAGGTGAAATTTGTCTTACAACTTGTCAAAACCTATGTTTTCAGAACTTCCCACAATGAAGGGTGGCTAATGATCCAAACAAACAAACAAAAAACACATTTTTCTGTAGCCTTTCTCAAATGATGATCTGTTAATCTCATGTTTCATGAAATATAAGGGTTGTGGATGGTACTGTAATTACATTGTATGTTAGCACTACTCAATAACAGAATTCAGCTGGGTGTCCCATCCACAAGAGAAGTTGCGAGTTTGAGTCTCCCGACCAACTTTGTCGGAAATGTGGTGGTTACTCATATGAACAAAACTGGGTGTGTTTTTCTCAAGGCTCATTGCCTTCAAAATGAGAAGATGAAACTAGGATGAAGCAGGAAAATAGCAGTTTCTACCATTGCAACTGCTTATGAAAAGGTTGATAGATTCTTTTCAATCTATTACCTGATCCTGTGTAATACAATGTTAAGAGAATGATTTTGTTAATACGAAATAAAACTCTAAACTTTTTTCTTTTTTTTTTTTTTTCATTGAGAATGGTTCCTTATTATGTTGGCTGCCATTTTCATTTTTTGTGAGCCCTCCAACCCTCTGATTATTGTAGTAACATCCTAGATCCCTTGTGTGTATGCAGTTTCATTGCGATAGGTGCTGTACAAACTGCAATGTCCTAATGCCAGGAGCTCACAAACTAAAGCAATGTACGATAGGAGATATAAGGAGTAACAGAAAAGAATCAGTGGCTTTGATCAAAATCTGAGGCATATATGTGGCTGTGTACATGGGTAAATGAATGTGTACTTCTCAATGTCTTATACTGTGATGAAGTTGTAGGATTATCAAGAAATCTGGCACCCAGTTAATACATAACCTTTTTTTTTTTCTTTCTTTTTATAACCTCTGAAAGATGCTTGCCGTCAAAATCATAACAAGAACTGTCATAACAGGATACTCAGCTGATCTTGAAAATAACTGAATATTTTTCTCCTTTAGGGATAATAAAGGACCCTTGAATGTAGGTTCACAGTTGAAATTTCTTAGCTTCTTTATCAAGCATCAAGTGAACTGCAGCCTTTCATAGTGTCAATGTTATACATAATAGTAACAATAGAAAGTTTTTCAGGCACTTTGACCTGTAACTAATCTCACACTGGTGATTTTGGAAAGAATTTGCATCAGAGAGGACACTTTCACTGGAAGACAACTCCAAAATAGGTGCTGTGCTAATTATTTAACTATGGCTATATTCATCATATGGATACTCATATAATATTTGTTATTTCCAAGTTGTTCGTAAATTTGGGGGGGGTTTTTTTGGCTAGGTTGAGTACAATTTCCTGTATTTCTCAGGTGAAAAACATGTATAATGGCCTGAAATAAAGAGGCATGTTGCTTCTAAAATTTTAATCTATTAAATTTTAATATAAAAAAAATAGAATAGATTTCATCTATTGAAATTCCTGACCCAAATTGAAATTGTTCCTTAAACTCCACGGATTCATTTGCCTTATACCCTCTTGTACCATATAAAAGATTCTGGAAGGTGCTGTCATAGCATCCCAAGGGTCATTCTTAGTCCACTGTTGGCATAAAGTGTAATAGATTCTCTTATCCATGTTACAGAGAGCATTTGCAAAGATCCGCTGAGATTAATTCACTTAGGTTATCTAAAAGTGTCTGTGTTTGCTGACTGTAGCTGTCTTGCACAGGACTAGGACCTGTAAGCTTACACTGGTGTCAAGTGCCAGGAATTAAATAGCTTTGAACGTGCAGCATTTTTGTAGTTGTGGCAAAGGCAGAAGGCCTGTTTGGTAAAAGTCAGCTAGATGGATTGTTTGCTTAGTTTGCAGCAAGAAATTTGGAGTGGATGATAAGTGGTGTTCAGTTCAGCCCCTGAGTCAGTCCTTTCTGAAAGAGATCAGATTGAGAGTGTAATTGAAGGGCTTGGTGTAATGACTTAGTTCCATCGATCGGTAGAAAGGAAGCCATAACCAAACTGCAAATAGATAGTCTGGTATGGATAGATATACGTTAGATGTATGATTTTTAGATGGATAGATAAAGCTTGTCACTTTGAATATATATCAGGCCCTTGCTGCAAATTTAAACTTGTTACATGAAATAATAGCAATTCTCTCTACAGGTTGTGTAGGCAACATTTTGTTGTCTACCTAATTTTCTATGTAGAGAAAATACAGCCATGCCAGTCCAAATAAACTACTCCAGCACACAATTCTAAATCTTGATTAAATTAGTAATTGTTTACCAAAGTATACAAAGTTGGCTTTACAATAAGCCAACTGGCCTGGACTAAAATGGTGAAATGGAGACATTGTTGCTTATGGCTGCTGCTCTGACCCCACTGTAACTAGATTTTTTTGGCGGGGGGTTTGAGATTCAATGCATTGGTGTGCTAACATGCCAACATCATGCTACTACATAATTACTTCTGTCCGTAGTGCTGGGACTCAGAACCTAAGATGTCTTTTTCATTAGGTTGGTAGTAGAGAATATGATTTCCTTAAAACATAAAGCACATTAAATCTATTTACTAAAATAAATAATATTAAAAAAGAATGAAGAGCCTGCTTCATATGTGTTAAGTTCTGAGATTATTATTTTACTACTACTACTAGTATTAATTTATTTTACTAGTAAAGAGTGATTAAGATTATAAGAATCAAAAACCAAGAGAGATAGTCACCTGCTGCCATTTTCTTGCATTTCTGTCTTGGTATCATACGAAGTCCAATTTCAAACTGCTAGATGTGTAAGCAAGCATATAGGCACTACGATACTTGCATAAACCGTCTTGGGCATCATTCTGTCTCTTTTGGCGCTAATACCTTTGAAAACCTTCAAGTCTTTAGAAAGTTCGAGGGTGATGGTGGCTATAAAATGCCTATTCAGTGGGAAATCCAGAAAAACAAGCAGGTTTGAGAACATGTTAGAAGTCCTAGCTCAGAGAGGCATTTAAGCACATTGCCTATATAAGTACCATGCATTCACTATTGGATAATATGCAGGTAAAATGTTGTAATTTAAAAGAAGATAATGATTTAGCAGAGGAGCAATGGCCCTCAAAACACCTTTTCATTCTGTATATTCTACTGGGTGTAGGTATTTTTATCTCCCCCTCCAGCTTTTTGGCTCAGTGTTGATTTTTGTGAGATCTTGTCTTGGAAATTCTGTTTTTCTTCTGTGTTTGACTGTAGGAACCTGCCTTAAAGATCAAATAGTTCCATTTTTTTAAGTCCTTAAAGATCCTAGATAAGTTCTATGGTGTCTCCAAATTAATGGTACTTTATAGGTTCAAGTATCCTTATTAGAATACTTGTGTTTTGATTTCCCTCATACTGTGTGCAAGCTGTCTGCCGTTCTCCTCTGGCCTGAATGCAAAGATTCATGTGTAGAAATCTGTGAATAAACTGGTTTTTTTGTATGAATCAGAATAAATGTTGTGATGGTTTTGGTGATTTATTGTTATTGTTAAAGTGAAGATCTATGTGGTTCTGATGTAATCTTTTTCTTCTTTTTCCTCTTTTTCTTCCAGTTTATTGCTTTTGCTTCTTTATTCTTCATCTTAGTCTCAATCACAACCTTTTGCCTGGAAACACATGAGGCTTTCAATACTATTATAAACAAAACCGAGCAGGTCGTCAATGGGACAGAAGCCATTCTACAGTATGAAATTGAGACAGATCCGGCTCTGACGTACGTGGAAGGAGTCTGCGTGGTGTGGTTTACATTTGAATTTTTAGTCCGCGTTATTTTTTCCCCAAACAAACTTGAATTCATCAAAAACCTGCTGAATATCATTGACTTTGTGGCCATCCTGCCCTTCTACCTAGAAGTGGGCCTGAGCGGGCTCTCCTCCAAAGCTGCTAAGGACGTGCTTGGTTTCCTCAGGGTGGTAAGGTTTGTGAGAATCCTGCGCATCTTCAAGCTCACCCGGCACTTTGTGGGCCTCCGGGTGCTGGGCCACACTCTGCGAGCCAGCACCAATGAGTTTTTGCTGCTGATAATATTCCTGGCACTAGGTGTTTTGATATTTGCCACCATGATCTACTACGCGGAGCGTGTGGGCGCCCAGCCCAACGACCCCTCAGCGAGCGAACACACACAGTTCAAAAATATCCCCATCGGCTTCTGGTGGGCCGTGGTCACCATGACCACCCTGGGGTACGGGGATATGTATCCGCGGACCTGGTCGGGCATGCTGGTGGGGGCCTTGTGCGCTTTGGCTGGGGTGCTGACCATAGCCATGCCCGTGCCTGTTATCGTTAACAATTTCGGAATGTACTACTCCCTCGCGATGGCAAAGCAGAAACTGCCGAGGAAGCGGAAGAAGCACATCCCTCCGGCCCCTCAAGCCAGCTCCCCCACGTTCTGCAAGACGGACTTGAACATGGCCTGCAATAGCACGCAGGGGGACATCTGCCTGGGCAAGGACAACCAGCTGATGGAGCACAACAGGTCATCAGGTAGGACCCCACTGGAAATGCATGTCCTCTCCAAACACTTTATAGACCAGTATGTTTGGTAGGTGTCAGAAAGCAGCCGGTCTTTCTGCCGTGAGCAGATAGAGCTCCTACCCTTCTCCCCTCCAGTGTTTGCGTGTTCTTGTAGAGGACAAAATAGTTACAGTGATGTTCCCAATTCTATATGTAGCTGGTCTATACAGTTTTGCTTTTTCTGTTGTG